TTCCTCCCCTGCTCCTGAAGCCCCGCCCAGTGTCCAGTCCTTGCCCCGCAGATGCAGGAGGCCTTGGTGAACGAGCGCGCCAGCGGGAGCACCAAGCAAGAGCAGGAGGCGCAGCGGCAGGCCGCCTTGCAGCAGCACCTGGATAAGGCGCGCTCTGAGTCGGATCAGCTCGAGGCCCGCTTGAAGGACTTTCGAGGTCAGGTGGAAACGCTCAAGGCCGGTGAGCGCCTGTGGCAGCCCCTCCTCCAGCCCCAGCTTCTTGATCTGGAGGGGTGCAGTGAGCCGGCAGAGGGTCCAGTTGGGCTGGCCCCTTGGAGGTATACCGTGGCTGCTTTGTGCACTTGCTTATCAGTCCAGACCACATCCATATCTGTTCATCAAGGGCATCAGCCATCCAGTATTCCTGGATGAATATGTTCACACTGATTGGCCTAGCCCTCTGTCCACCAATGCCTTCGGGGTGGTGGTATTGTTGAGTTACAGGGCAGGTAGGTACTGAGATTTATTAGAAAATCCACATGAGGGCACCAGAGTGTTCCAGATGCCCTGCGCCCTGGCTGGCCCCTCTTACCGACAGAGGTTGTGATGTTAGCCCTTTGAATGCGCATGCAGTACTACCTCTATTAATTTAATTTGAGTTTGTCTGATGACTAATAACTTAGGGCACCCTGTTTAATCCTGTGCATTTAAAAACAAATTAGGGTGTTTGTCTTGCTAAAACTGAGTTGCATGAGTTCACTGCATTTTCTGAATAGTAGTCTTTTTTTCCTCCACATTTTGTATAGCTGCATTATAGTTGTATAGAATGGTGGGGTTGATTGTTACATATTAGTACATGCACACAATATAACAATATAATTTGGCTAATGTCCATCCCAGAATATCCCTTCACCACTCCCTGGCTCTTCCTTCTATTCTCATCTCCCTTTGATTTTTATATTATCATCGCTATCCCTCACCTTTCTTTTCCTTCTTCCTCTCTACCTTCCACATATGAGAGAAGACATATGACCCTTGACCTTCTGAGTTTGGCTTATTTCGCTTAACATAATGGTCTCAATTTCCATCTGCAAATGATATAATTTCATTTTTCTTTATGGCTGAATAAAACTTAATCGCTTATATATACTACATTTTCACTAAGTTGCTGGGCTGGCTTTGAACTTGTGATCCTCCTGCCTCAGCTTCCTGAGTCTCTGGGATTACAGGTGTGTGCCATCACGCCTAGCTATTCCACACTTTGTTTATCCATTCATCTGTTGATGGACACCTAGGCTGGTTCCATAGTTTGGCTATTGTGAAATGTGCTGTTATAAACTTGGGAATGCATGTATTGCTATAGTTAAGATGACTTTAATTCTTTAGAATAAATACTGAGGAGTGTTCTAGCTGGGTCATATGGTGGTTCCAGGCCTAGTCTTTTGAGGAACCTCCATACTGATTTCCGTAGCAGTTGTACTAATTTACAATCCCACCAATAGTGGAAAAGTGTTTCTTTTTCATGTTTTCTTCCATATAGCTGACCTTTTCATTTTCTTGTGATAAACCTAAATTTATTTTTTAGTTTTGATGGTATCCAATTTACCAACTTTTCTTTTTGTTGTTAGTGACTCTGTGGCCTTCCCTAGAAGTCTTGGCTTGCTCTAGGGTGACAAAGGCACTCTCCTCTGTTTTCTGCTGGAACTTTATTGTTTTTGCTCCATATTGCAAATTAATCTGTATGTATTGTATGAGGCGGGAGCCTAGAGTTTCTTTTGCTGAAATCACCCCTCCAGGGTGTCCTCCTTTCCATCTTATTTTGGGGGAAGGAGCCATTCAGAGCACTCAGGAGGCAGGCCACCCTGGCTTGGAACCACTGCCACCATTTGTAAGCCTCGGCATGGTTCCTCTTTCTGAGCCACTCTGGAAATGGAGGTGCAGTTGTCAGATGTGATGGTGATGGCACTACAGCAGGAGAGGAGCAGAGGGCCGTGTGAGGTGGTGGGTGTGCAGTGGAACTCAATCAGGTTGCCTTTTCTTGGGATTTACAAACACACACACATACACTCAGGCATTTTATACATTTTTGGTTGGTCATTTTTGTGTGAATAACACGTTCCTCCATTTTGAAGTGTGCTATTTTGCTTTTTTCAATTCACCAATATCTTGGTGCCATTTCAGTAATCAAAATATATTAACATAGAGTGACGTGGTAATATGATAAAAACAGAATGGAATAGTAGTGCTATCTCATTCTTGGTCTTGGTGAGTTTCATTCTAAACTCATTTAGATTTATTCTCCTGCTGGGGTTGCCCTAGCAAAATACCACAAATGGGATGGCTTAAACACAGAAGTGTGTTGTCTGACAGTCGGAGGCAGAAGCTGGAAATCGAATTCTCTGCAGGATCGGTTCTCCCTGAGGGCTGGGGAGGAAGGATCTGTTCTAGGCATCTGTCCTCGGCTTGTAGATGGCTCTGCTCTCTGGGTCCCATCTCTGCATTTGCCCTTTCATTTTATAAGGACTCCAGTCATGTTGGGCGGGGGCCACTATACTCCCTTCTGACTTCATCATGAGTTCATCTTCAATGACCCTATTTCCAAATAAAGTCATATTCTGAGGCGTTGGGGAGTTAGGACTCCAACACGTGCGTTTTTCGGGGGCGCAATTCAACCCTTAACATTATGGCTGCCCCAGAGTTATCCACTTAGGTCACTTCCAATTGTTTGCTGCTATCAATAATGCCATGAGACCCCTCTTATGAAGTTAAACACAACTGAAATAGAGGCATGTTATATATATATTTAAAGAACATGCAGGAATGCCATGAAACTGTATAAAACAGCAATCAGGGGACTGATGGGCCAGGGTCCGGGAGGATGGTGTTTTTTTGTGAGTGATCCCGGGACTGCGGGAGGAGAGGATGCAGGTTTCTGTCGAGGTCCCGGTGCCTTCTTAGTACATGAACAATGGCTGGTTAATAACTCAGCACAAGTGGGCCATGACCCTGTCTAGTGGGTCCAGGGAAGACTGAATGCAACTGGGACTGAGGTTAGAAAAACACAAAGGCAGCAGCCCCGAGGCTGCTGGGTGCCCTCCAGCCCTGGGAGGGCCCAGGGAGAGGGTCTTGGAGCCCAGGAGGCTGGGGATGCTGGGTTTGTTTCTGGCTAAGGTGTCAGACGGAGGCAAGGCCCATGTTAGCTCTGTCCTCTTGAGCCCTCAGGTGGGGCTACTGAGCTGAGCTGAGCCCCTTTCAATCTTTGAGCCTGGACTACTATCTCCACAGAATGCACAGCAGGGACTTTAACAGGGAGAGGGCTAGCGTCCAGTGGGCTGTGCTGGATCAATGACAGTAGCCCCCCCGCCCCCAGATATCCAGCTGCTCTTCACCAAGGCTAACTGTGACAGCAGCGTCATCGACGACCTCCTCGGTGTCAAGACCCACATGCGGGATCGGGACATGAGCCTCTTCCTGAGCCTCATTGAGAAGCGACTGGTGTACCTTTTGACAGTGCAGGCCTTTCTAGAAGTCCAGGTGGGCCAGGGCAGGGACGGGCCCTGGGGGCTGACCTGTGGCCAGGCCTGAGCTGAGCCCTGGCTCTCGCATTCTCAGAACCAAGCCCCCTTGACGGACACTGCCCTCCTGCTGCTGGGCCAGAGCCATGAGGATCCTCCCAAGAAGATGGCCCCTCTGCAGCCACCTGACAGCATGTGAGCCGGGCTGGGCAGGCATTGGTGGGGCTAGGGAACAAGTGGGCTGGGGTCTGGGATCAGGTGGTGGGCCTGGCTCAGGGAGGATGGAGGATGATGCAGGGTCTAGAGAGAGCCAGAGTTAGGACTCCAGGGGACTGTGTGAGAGGAGATCGTGGGTATTGCAAAGGGGAGAGGGCTGGCCCGAGAACAGCTGAGGGCCTCTGGTAAAGGCAGGAGGTGCCATTGGCCTTTTGTGGGCATGAGTCTAGACTTTTCTGCCTTCCCCCACCCTAGAGAGGATCCCCCCGGTTTTGTGGCCAAAGACGACCATCCCATGAGCAGGGAGGAGCTGCTGAGCCAAGTGATGCAGGCGGTGAGCGGGCTGGCGGCTGCAGGTGGTGGCCGGGGCTGGCGGCTGCAGGTGGTGGCGGGGGCTGGCGGTGCTGTGGGGAGGGCCTCGGCTGTCCTCTGGGGCCCTGACTGTCCTCCTCGCCCCAGGTGGAGGTCCAGGAGCTGGCCCAGGAGCAGCGCCAGAAGGAGCTGGCGGAAGCAGTGGGGAAGATAGACAGCACCCCGGCCGGGGCCTTCTCAAGCACCAGAGTGGCCAGTGCGGGGCCCTCCCTGGGGGCCACCAGCAGGATCCCTGGGATTCCTGGGTCCATCCTGAGCCACAGAGCCAGCAAGGATCAGGGCACAGGCTCCATCAGCCGTGTCACTTTTGGCATCCCCAGCTCCAGTGTAGGCCAGCTGTCCAGGGGTCACCACTCCAGTACGGGCCAGACCACCTTTGGCCCCATGAGCGCCAGTGGGGTCCCAGGTTCCAGTCGGACCTCGAGTGCCGGCCGTGTGACCTTCAGACCCATTAGTTCGGGCAGCAACCTGGTGTCCACTGGCTATATGGATTCCAGCAGAGGCCAGGAGAGCTCTGCAGGTGGCCTGGCGAGCAGAGGGGTGGGGTCAGAATCAAGTGGGGGCCCCAGCTCCAGCAGAGGGGCTCCCTCCAGCACCAGGCCTGCCTCCTCCAGCAGCAAGGACTCCCGCTGCTTCTAGGGCGTCCAGCCCTGCCCTGCCCTGCGCCCTGCAGGTTCCCCGTCTCTGCCTGCCTCTTTGCCCTGGGAGTCTCCGTCTCTCAGCGTGGGCCTTGTCTCTCTGCCCCTCCATCTCTTTCCTCCTGCCCATGGTGCCTCAGCCCTAAGCGCTCATGTCCCCCACTCCTGCCTCCTCTCCCTCTCCCGCTCACTCCTCCTCTCCGTCTCCCAGGCTCTCCTGGCACCTCACATTCTCATCTTTACAGCTCCTCGTTCTTCACTCCCTAAGAGCCTCCCCCATACTGAATAGATGAGCTGTGACCCCAGGAAATAAAGGTCTGGAGTTCAACTCTTACCCCAGCCCGGGTGCATGTGTGTGAGACAGCCAGCTCAAGACAGGGCTCTTCCCTCGACCACTAGTCCAGGGAGAATTTGTGACCCTGTCCTTATCCTCTGCCATTCACTCACTCATTCATTTTCTGAGACTTGCACGTTTCTGGCTCTGCTGGGGCGGTGTCAGCTGGGGTAGGCTGCGTTACCTGTGGTAACAGTTATGCTCCAGAATCAGTACCCTCCCCCCCAGTGCAGCAAAGGTTTCTTTCTTTCCATTGCTGCTGCTGTGTGTGGGTCAGCCAAGAGCTCTGCTCCCTGTGCCCCAGGCTGTTGGAACAGCCTCCCTCTGGAGAGATGCCAGTTTCCTTTGACACTGGGAAAGGGAAAGTGAAAAAATAGGCTCCTAGAACTTTTACCTGGGTCAGGTGCTCAGGAGGCTGAGACAGGAGGATCGAAAGCTTAAGACTTGCCTCAGCAACTTAGTGAGGCCCTGAGCAACTTAGCAAGGCCCCGTCTTAAAAAAAGGGTTGGGGATATGGCTCAGTGGTTAAGTGCCCCGGGTTCAATCCCCAGTGTGTGTGTGTGTGTGTGTGTGTGTGTGTGTGAACTTTCCCCTGGATATGACACAGTTGCCTTAATTCAAATTTATCATCCAAGGCAGGTCACCTGACCATGCCTCGATTCAAGGGCAGGGTGGGGTGGGGGGAAGGATAGTGGCCTGTGTCTGAAAGGGGAGGACGGAAGGGATATCTGCAGGCTTTACACCAGCTGCGGGCCACCGAGTTGGAGCAGAGAAATCAGAGACCTAGGCCACTGTGGGCGACCCCTGCCTGTCTCATGCTTGGTGCCCGGACAAAACCTCATCCTACCAAGTCCAAGCAGGTGACCTTTCACTTACCCTTGTGACCCAGGTAGGCAGAATGTGTGACAGCAGAATGTGCTGCGGAGGGGTGTGTGTGTGTGTGTGTGTGTGAAGCCTGGCAGAGCGAATACCCGAATGCGTCTGTGACTATAAGTGCCGTCGTCTCTTGGCATCCATAGGAGATTGGTCCCAGGAGCCCCACAAATACCAAGGTCCACAGACGTTTGAGTCCTTTATGTGACACAGCATAGTTACGAATGACCTACACACATCCCCCACACACCCCAGACAGGTCCAGACAGGTCTAGAGCACGGTGCCTGCTGTAATGGAAATGCTCTGTGAAGAGCTACACTGGATTTAGGAGATGACAGGAAAAAAGTCTGAAGACGTTCAATACTGCCAAGTGCCAAGGTCTCGGCTTGGCACCGAATCAGGAGGCACCACACACCTTTGTAGGTTCAAACAGCAATTCTTTATTCCCGCTCTCACACCGCCTCCACACAGGTCCAGGGACAATCGCATTCTCCGTCTGCCCGCACAATTCACCTACTTCATGAGGCTCTCTCCAAATCCCATTTTAATCTCACGAGAACTCAATGGGAACAAGCAGCAGGAACACCCTAATCCCAGCAATAATCTTCAATCTCCAACTTCCCTAAAACCCATTGTCTTAAACTGGCTACGCCTTAAACTCAAGGAGCCGGTTACTTCCTCAAACCTGATCAGCTCTAAACCCGGATCCGCCTTGGTCCTTGAGCAAAGTCACCTTATTAAAGCATGCATGCAATGTCCCATCAAATGTCCTCTAAGCAGCATGGGGTACGCTTGGCAAGGAAATTTCGATGCGTCATTCCTACTTGGTAATGGCCCTCAGCACAATACAGGCACAATTTTCTTTTTTCATACCAGATATAAGCTCAGGAGCACTTAACCACTGAGTCACATCCCTGGCCCTTTTTATTTTTTATTTTTGAGAAAGGGTCTCGCTCCCTTGCTTAGGGCCTTACTAAATTGCTGATGCTTGCCCTTGAACTTGGGATCCTCTTGCCTCAGCCTCCTGAGTCACTGGGATTACAGGTACTGTGTCTGGCTGGCACCATTAAAAAAATTTTTTTAGATCTGCTGTTGGTTGAGTCTTCAGATGCAGAACCCGTGGATGCACAGGCTGGCTGGACAATGATGAGGATGAAGATGAGTGGGGGGCTGGGCTGGACTCAGTGGTACGGTGCTTGGGCAGCACAGGCCAGGCTGGTGTGCAATTCCGAGCACTTAGCACAGAGACAATCCAATCAACTCTCTCCTCATCTGATCCCAGGATCTGGTAAAGGCTCCCAGCAATCTCCCAGCTTTCTCCTGATCAGAGTTCAACAGTGATTCTTTGTGGAGAGTTTGCTAGTTCTGGGTGCCAATACTCTCTCCCACCATGGCTGTTTCAGAGTTGGAAGAGGTGGTGAGGTCAGGCCTGTCCACTGGTGCCCCAGGCTCCCTGTACCTCCCACAGAGCACACCCCCAGCACAACTGCCTTCAATTCTAAAAACACTGAGAGCTGTCCAGAATGGAAGCTGCCTTACATGTTTAGGGCACAAAGACTCCATTTCCAGTGTACAAAGCTAAAGCCGCAACACTTCTAAACCTTGACCAAGAAACAGAACAAGGAGCTGCAGCCTGCTTGGTGCCGGGATGAGATCTTGACTTAAGAGGAAGGTGCTCTGAGCGGCAGATGGACGGGCTCCAGGTAATCCAGGGTGTGCTCTTGTTGACGCCCCCCCCCCCAACGGGAGGCATCTTGCCTTGGGGCTCCAATCTTCTCTCTCACTGGGCTGTGGGGAGCAGAGCATGGCTAGCTCTTTCCCCATGAATTGGACAAACATGTATTGAGTTCCTCTTGTGTGCTGTGGGTCATGCTAGGTTCTGGGGCATAGAAGAAGGAACGAGAAATTAAAAGAAGGTGTTTTGGAAGGAGGTAGAACAGTCAGCTCCCCTGGGATGTGGCTGCTGGAGCGACGCTGCTTCCCCTCTTGCTCCTCTGGGGCCCAGCAAATCTCATTGTGGTGTGCAGCAGAGCCGTGACCACTAACCCTATCTATCACTGGAGGGACTTCCTCCTCCTCCCCAGATAGGGCCCAGGACCTCAGATCCTATCCCTGCCTCCAAAGTGGCCTCGTCAATAGGACAGCTGCACCTAGCGACGGTGACCCCAGCAGCTAACCGCCTGAGGTCCTAGACCCTCCCCTGCCTTCCCCTGGTCTGTTTGTAGTTGGCCAGTCCTGAGGCTGCACGCCCAGGTTCATCAGAGACCATGTCAGAGGAGCCAGGGTCAAAGCGAGATTCCTCTTGGTTCCCAGGCTCTGCAGCACCTCCTTCCCCTTTGCCGGTGTGCAGAGCGGGTGGAGGATGAAAAAGGGTGGTGGTGCCGAGGTGGTGGTGAGGGTGTTGCCGATGGTGACACTGGTGACCACATTGAAGACGGCGTCACTGCTGGTGACAGGTGGGAATGGGAAGTGGGAATAGAGGTGGCGATGTGATGGTGTTGTCACCTCTACACAGGCTCTTCATTTCTTGCTCGGATCATTTTGTTACATACAAGACGGGCAGCTTTATTGGTGAAAATGGAAGTAGGACTGAACTAAATTTTATCCAGTTGCAGTGAAATTAGGAACATTTTGTGTTTTGTGATTTTTCTCCTCCAGGAGTGAAGCTTGTATTGTGGCATCTGAGCTGTGTGGCCTTGGGCAAGTGTCTTAATTTCTCTGAGCCCCATTCCCCATTCTGAAATCAGAGCTGGCCGTGAGGTGGTGGGGGACAATCACTGGGGCGGTGGTCTGGGTGCCATCAGGATCTTTGTCAGCTGAAAATAGTGGAGATAATGCAGAACAGTGGGGACATAGCGTGGGTCATTAGTGGAGACTCAGAAGACAGGAAGTCACTTAAGGAGAGCTCAAGGTTCGGTCCTGCTGATGCCCAATGGAGTCAATGACTGGAGAGGCAGAGTGATGGGGAAGGGCAGAGCTTTATAAGCAATAGGCTGGCAGGTGACAGATGGCATGTTATGGCCTTCAGTGACCATCTCTTGAAATAGGAGTGTCTTTCATATGATTCTCCAAAGGAAGACGTGTATGGTATATGGGTCTCAGACAGGTGGGCACCTGGGTTGTCAATGTTATGAAAAATAGCGTCGTCTGGAGTGTGTTCCCAGCACCTCTGATCTGCGGTCCCCCGGGTCAAAAGGAGAGAAATGATTGAAGTTTGTGTCTCGTGCGGCGCTGCCTTAGCATAGCTGTGCCGCCAGGTGACGCCCGTGCCCCGTCCGAGTGGGTTTTGCTCTTTCCCACTGGGTCCGAGCAGGTGATTTCCTCCCGGTCCTGCCTCCGTCTGGCGATCTTGTTTTGCTGGATAAAAGCCCTGGTCTTGAATATAGTTCCCGGAGCGCAGTCCTGCAAAAACGGGATATGGCTCTCTGAACACATCCATTCATCCGTCCTTCTTTTCACGATGTCTATTAAATTGGTGAAAATGTAACTAAATTTTTTTGAACTAAATTTTACCCAGTTGCAGTGAAATGGGAACATTTTGTGATTTTTCTCTTCCAGGAGTGAGGCAGAATCTGGCATTGACGAATCTGAGCTGTGTGGCCTTGGGCAACTGTCTTAATTTCTCTGAGCCCCATACCCCATTCTGAAATGTTCCAGACGAGGTCAGTCTCCTAGTGGGGAGGACAAACACCTCCCAAATGCACGAGCCAGTCTGTACGGGGAGGCTCCGGCAGGGGAACTAAGAGCCAAGTTTCTGGTGCCCACAGCCTAGCCACCCGCCAGCTGACCTCGGACAGCTTGCTTAGCCTGCCCTGGTTTCTCCTGCTGTAAAATGGAGCAATAATACACCCACATGACAGGGTTATTGTGAGGGCTTCCTTAGTAAATATTTGCAAAGTACCTGGTAGATTTGCTAAATCTATTTCATTTAACAGCCCTGTGGGAATTGAGGGCCTATGTGGGTGGGTGGGGGAGCCCTAAGATCGCATCACCTCCTCTCTCTGAATTGAGTCCAGGGCTCTGACTTCTGGCCTGTGTCTATCCGTGTGCCCAACCTTACTTTAGGGGTAAGAGTAGATCCAGACCCATTTACATGGTCTGGGGCTGCATCTGGGCTAACAGCTTGCAGATCATCATTTTCCTTCCAAGATGGGAGGGGGTCCCAATGCACCCCAACTCTAGGAGAAAGCAGCAGGCCCCTAGGAAAAGCAGGCCACAGGGGCCAGGCTGCAGAGTCCCCTCTTCTGGGAGAGTCCTTAGCAGACAGGTCTTCCCCAAACACCAAAGACTGAACTTGGCAGAACTTTAGGGTTCTCTTTCCTTTCCCCCATCCTCACCTTCCGCTTTTCTTTCTCTTTTCCTGCAGAGATTCATAAAAGTTTTTACAGACTGAAATCCACCCAGGGTCCGTGTACAATTCAGAGTTTTGATACATTTGCAGAGTTGTACAGTCATCACCCCAACCCAGTTTAAAAGCTCCTCCACTATTAAGTTCCTCATCACCAGCTTGCAGTCAATTCCCTGTCCCAACCTCCCACCCCAGGCCACCGCAAATCCACTTTCAGTCTCTCCAGATTTGCTTCCTCTGGAAATACCATATAAATGAAACCAGACAGTCCTGCTGTGTCTAAAATAATTTTGCTTCTAACATATGTGAATTGCAGAACCCAGAGAGTCACTCTGTTCAAGAATGACTTTTGCAAACTTTGTTGTGAGGCCTGTGCAAGAATTGATTTCAGCAGCCGTGTCGATAAGGTCTGCAGTGAGATAAAGAATAAATCTCTCTGAAACCAGGCTAAGAAATAACCGATAGGGCAGTGACAATGAAAGGATAGATTCTTCCTGCTACCTATCTGGCTGAATCTTTCTCTGAAAGAAGAGATAGTAAGAGATATTCAATGGATACCACCGTATGTATTAAAAGAATCAGAAGTAGGAAAGAGAACACTGGGGATTTATGCATAGGCATAAAAATAAAATTGAGCAGGAAATGATCCAAAATGTGCCATAGGGTTTCTGCTCTGCACTGGGGGAGGCTGCCGGTAAGGTGCAGCCATGAATTGTTTAATGATGAACTGCTTCTGGGCCTGGATACTGGTATGTGGGTGGTCATTTTATTGACTTTGAACTACATGTGTACATTTTCCTTCCCTCCTTCCTCCCTAGCTTCTTTTCTTCCTCTTTTTTATATTGGGATTCAACCTAGGGCTGCTCTACCACTGAGCTACATCCCCGGGCCTTTTTATTCATTATTTTAAGACAGGGTCTTGCTAGGTTTCTGAGGCTGGCCTCCACCTTGTGGTCATCCTGTCTCAGCCTCCCCAGTTGCTTGGATTACAGATGTTCACCACCACGCCGGGCAGTGGGTAGACATTTTCAAATGCATGTGGGTATCCATATTTCCTGATTAAAAAAAATTGAAAAAAAATTGAATTTTGAGAGAGCTGAGTCTTTCCTTATCTCTGTTCTCTCCACTGGAAAGCAGGGACAGTGATGTTTTATTCTTTCTTTTAGTTGGAGGTTAGGAAACTGGTCCATGGGTCAAATCAAGCTGAGCTGAGAAGGAGTTCATCATGTGATATGTGAAAATGACATGAAGTGCAGATTTTAATGTTCTTAAGTAGTCTTATGGGATCTAGTCTGCCCAGCTGTTTATACACTGCTACTGGATTAAAATCATACTTGGGATTTAGTGGATGGAGGTGTGGAGCCAACATAGCATGTGACGAGCATTTGCTTCCCCTCCTGGTCAGCTGAGGCACTGTCGGTCCCACGTGATCTGGTTGCTTTTAAGTAACCTAAGATGGTAGCCCCGATCTTGAGGGTAGAGAAAATACAAATGTGTCTTCATGCGTAGGCGCGCCTTCCTGCAGCCCCAGGGGTCGGGGTATGCTCACCGGTTCCTTTGTGATATTACCCCCTTGCCCCGTTTGGGATAGAATGTTCCATGGAAACGCCTTTTGTGTGTCCCCTTCTCTTGCTCTGCCCTTGGGTGTGGCCTTCCTAGATGTCAGTGGACCTGCTGACAGTGGACAGCAGGAAGCTAGACTCAGCCCCTGAAACATGACCCCTTGACTCATTTGAATGGCTTCTCCTCAATAAAAAGGGTCAGCGCGCACCCGCTCTCTCTTCCTGTGGACCCTTAAGGTCAGAGGAGCCGTCAAAGGACCCCAAAGAAAAAGGTATCTCCGTCTCTTGTGTGGTTATTTCCTGCAGCCCAGTTCCCCTGGAGTGACCCTGAGTGTTTTAGTCATGAGGAACGCGACTTGGAGGTGTGACATAGAGGACATTGAAAGGTTGATGTCACAGACCTCCCTTGGTGTCCATGGGGGTCACTTCCAGGACCTCTCTGGGATACCAAAATCCATGCTAGACACCCTTCTCTACAGTGGCATGGTATTTACACTCAGCCTGCGCATGTCTGCCTGTTCACTTTAGGTCTGCTCTAGAGTATGTGTGGCATCTCACAGTGCAGGTGCTTGTGCCTCTCCAGTACAGACACAGTTGTTTTGATCCACAGTTGGTTCAATCTGCAGATGCAGAGCCCATGGACACAGGAGGGCGACTGTTTTCATCTTTCCCGGAGGAGCCCCAGCGCCATGCCACCAGACAGGGCCACAGGGGAAGCACTCAAGAGGCGGAAGCAGGGATGAGGGGAAGCCCCGGCTTGCACTGGGGTTTCCTTGGGAATGGCCAGGGAGGCAGGCAGACAGCTCGGGACTGACAGGTATAATTCTGGTGAGCTTGTGGTAGGGGTTGTCCCTTGTAGCTGGCCCCAGGGTGATTTAGGCTGGCGGGAGGGGTTTAGGGGTGTGTGGGGGTACTAGTGTGTGTGAGAATTAGATGAGCAGGGGGTTGGCTCAGGTACAGATGGGGTGTTCCTATGTAAGCAGAGAAAACATCTTATTATGCAAATAGAAGAAGCAGAGCTGGTGCATGGCACACGTCTGTGATCCCAGTGGCTCAGGAGGCCGAAGCAGGAGGATCGTGAGTTCAAGGCCAGCCTCTGCAACTTAAGAGAAAACCTGTCTCAAAATAAAAATAAAAAATTGCTAGGGGATGTAGCTCAGCGGTACACCATCTCTGGATTCCATCTCCAGTACCACCAAAAACAAAACAAAGCAACCAAAACAAAAACAAAAACCCCAAATCAAAAAACCCTCCATTCTTGGGGGTGGAGTATTTGATAAGTGCACTTTTATTTATAGAACATGGGTTTCTTTATGGTGTATTCCTATGTGCAAATAACATACTTTGATCACAGAGTTGGGGCAGGGCACACTCCTGTAATCCCCAAGATGGCAGCGGTGGAGACAGGAGAACTGCAAGTTCAAGGCCAGTCTCAGCAATTTAGCGAGACCCTGTCTCCAAATAAAATAAAATTTAAAAAGGTCTGGGTATGTAGCTCTGAGGCAGAGCAGGCTTGGATTTAGTCTCCAGTACCACAGCACGTGCACACACACACATGCAATTGAAGGAGGAACACAGTAGAGGCAAATGGAGTCTGCTGTGGCCAGAACGTGTACCCCAAAACTCCAGTACTGGAGACTGAATCCCCAATGCCGTGGTGTGGAGGGTCGAGACTTTTAAGAGGTGATCAGGCCTGAGGCTTCCACCTTGGTGACTGGATTGATGTGGTCATCTTGGGGTGGAGTCATCTATGAGTGCATTTTTATTAACAGAATATGGTTTTAAGGTATATTCATACATGCAAATAACACACTTGGATCATATCCCCCAGCCTGTGGCGCTATTGGGAGGAGGTGGAGCCTTTGGGAGGGGCTTTTCACTGGAGAGTTCTGGAAAGATGTGCCCCTGCAGGTTAACTCACTGAGCTTCCTGCCAGTCTGTCCTCCTGGCATGTCCAGGACAGCAAGACCCTTGATGAAGCTGACCCCACCCTCCTTCCATCTGCAGGGAGCCTCTCATCTGTGAGTCTTGAGATGCCTCTGGAGCCCTGAAGACTTAGTAAAGGTTTTCCCACACTCCTCACACGCATAGGGCCTCTCCGCCGTGTGTGTCCTGATGTGCGCGGTGAGTTTTGAGGACTTGGGGAAGGCTTTCCCACACTCCGGGCAGGCGTAGTTCCTGCTCACAATGTGCTTTGTCAGGTGCTTATTGAGGTGCAGGGAGTACCTGAAGGCTTTCCCACACTGCTCGCATTCGTAGGGCTGCTCGCCTGTGTGAATGTCCATGTGTCTCCTGAGAAAGGACTGGTAGACAAAAGCTCGGCCACACTCGCGACACCTGTAGCTTTTCACTCCAGTATTAGTTCTCTTGCGTGGACCGGAATGGTGAGCGTGGACAGAGGTTTTCCCACTCGGTTTCTTAGCTTCTGTCTTCACACGGGAGGATCCTCCCTGCAAGGTCCAGGCTGGGTTGTGACTGAAGTTGCTTCCACACTGGTTGGAAACGAGCATTCTCCCTGCACTGGGAGTCCTGGGTGCCTTGGGGACTCTGTCTCCACTGACGGCTTTTCCAGACGCATCCCACAGCTGAATATCCACTCCCGTGACAATTTTATCGTGTCCATGACGCACGTGGTTCTGATTGTCCATCCACGGGTGTGATCTCGGCTCTGTGCATGTTCTCATTTGCGGGACCAGCCGCCCGTTCTGCCACCAGACGCCATCACAGCCATCATTTTTAGGTAATTCTTGATGACTGTTTAAGATGGGACAATATGTCATGATATTCCAGGAACACGGCGGGAGGTATTTTCTTGTGGACTCTCTCTGCGAAGGCACAAGCCTCAAGCTGTCCCTCACTTGGTGACACCCACAGGACACAGCTGGAGATACGCCTTTGCCCTGGACAGCTGCAGCTTGGGTTGCATTTTGCTCCCCTGGCTTCTGTGGCTCCTCTGTGCTGTGGCACTTCTGGTCTTCTAATGGGGAAGGCCACCACGTGTTGCCAGTGAGACAGCCGGTGGCTTCACGAAATGTTCTTGTAGCAAGAACATCTGGCTGAGAGGTTCGGTCTTTGGTTTTACATTGAGTCACCCAATCTGAAATAAAGTGGCACAAGGGTTACATTCTTCCTCCCAAGCAAAGGTGGGTGAGAGGAAAAATGGCGGCACCCATGTGGATTTCTTTACACACGACCATCCAACATATGTGACAAAAAGATGGGAAAGGGAAGAACCCAAGAAGACTAAGTGAGCTTAGTGCCTTAGAGTGACCCTGTTCCTGGGCTCCATTTACACCCACTTGTGGACCCCACAAAGGCTTGTTCATCATGAAAGGCATGAAAATGTCATGTCATTGACAGGCTTCCAGGTTCTTGGGGAAAACCAATGTCCACTACTTGGGGGCAGAGGCTGTGTCTGTCATTTAACAACCCCGTTCCCATCTCTCACATACCTCTCAGGACATAGGAGGTACCAAACCAGCACTGGTCCCATTGCTGACTAAATACAGGAGGAGCATCCTCGGCTGTGGATGCCATATTTTCCCGCCTCATGTCCTCAAGGAGATTCCTCTGAAAAGGGTCCACGTGTCCTTGGTGAAGTTCACAACCACATCCACGAAGGTCACCATGTCCTAAAACAACATTCCCATTTTGGCTCTGTGGGGTCCTATTATAGTTGACTTGTGCCTCTCCACCCAAATACATGTTGATGTCCTGACCCTTGGGACCTTTAAAGGTGATCTGGTTTGGAATTCAGGTCTTTGTAGATGTCAGGAGTTAGGATGAGGTCATAATGGAATAGGTTGGCCCTGTCCAATGGCTGGTGTCCTCATAAGAGGAGGAAATCTGGACACAGATGCACAGAAGGGAGGATACCATGTGACAATGACAACAGAAATTGGAGGGAGGGGTCTACAAGTCAAGAGTGCCAAGGACTGCAGGCAGCCACCAGAAGCTGGGCGAGCGACTGACCACCAGAGCCTCAGAAGGAACCACCTGCCGCCATTTTGATTTTGGATTTCAACTCCAGAACTGTAAGAGGATACATTTCTGCCACTGGGAGGTGGCCAGTGGGGGGCACTCTGCTGCCGCCACAGGCAGTCTGACCCCCCCAGAGGGAGGGTGGCTCAGGGCCTAGGAACACTCCACTCACAGGAGGTTCATTCAAGGTCTGGTTCTCTGCCGTCAGACTCTTCTCCTCTGTCCACATTCACCCCCAAGATAAGATGGCTTGTGGGGTTGGGCGCGGGATCACACGCCTGTCATCCCAGCAGCTCAGGAGGCTGAGGCAGGAGGATTGTGAGTTCAAAACCAGCTTCAGCAACTTAGCAAGGCCCTAAGCAACCCAATGAGACCCTGTCTCTGAGTAAAGTACTAATAGGGCTGGGATATGGCTCAGTGGTTAAGTGCCCCTGGGTTCAATCTCCAGTACCCCCCCACCCCCCCCCGGGGGGGGGGGGGGGGGGGGGGGGTCGGGGGAGGGGGATGGGGATGGTTTATGGCTTCTTGGGCTGTGCTTCTGCCTCTGTCTGTCTTCATTCCCTAAATTCTTTCATCCTGACTCACAGCTTTGGGGATGTGCCAGTCTCCCCTGGTGGACAGTGTGCTCTCAGTGTACTGGGGGCCGTAACCAGACACACCCACAGGGACATGTCGGTGACCACAGGGGTTGCCTCACAGTCCTGAAGGCCGGAAGTCCAGGTTGGAGGTGCCGGCAGGCTTGCTTTCTCCTGGGGCCTCTCTCCACGACTAGCAGGGAGAGAGTGTGTTCTCACCAGGTCTCTCCCCCGTGCTCACACATCCCAGGTGTGTCCTCATAATGGGCCAGGCCCCACCCTTATGACCTCATCTGACTTCCGTGACTTCTTTCAAGGACTGTGTCTCAGTACAGTCACGTGGGGACCAGGGCCTCACTATGAATTTTAGGGTCACACAGTTCAGTACACAGCACCTGTGTGTTCCCTGTGATTTCCAGATCCACCTCCGTCTTGGGGACTACCTTTGCTGGAGAGCCAGGCTGGATTCGGAAATGAGTAGCACCACAGTGAGACCTTGGGTCCCTCAGACAACGCTCTGTGACCTCATTTGACCCCCAGGCCCTGATGAGGAGTGAAAAGGATCTGTCACTGCAGCAGGGGGACCCGGCAGAATCCCCTGTGCATAGTCTCTTTAACCAGAGGTGCAGACCTCAGAGGGCACATCTGAGGACAGGCCCTGCCTGGCCCCATGTGCTCTGGCCACCCCAGCCTCAGGCAAAGCCACCCTCAGTCGCTGGGAACCACTGGGCCCTTTGGTGGTGGTGGGAGGTCCACTGCAGACTTTTCCTAGACAAAGTGTCACCAATAGAACAGACAGTCTGAGCTTTTCTGTGTCCCTTGAAGGAGGTCGACAAGGAGAGCTTACGGGGAAGAAAAGGGCCATGAAGATCCAGGCTCACTGCACCTCCTAAACACTAATCTGAGCAAGCATATGCTCCTGCCTTGTGCGCCCCTCCCACATTTAGTTCTGTTTACTTTTGTTTTTGGTACCTGGGATTGAACCCAAGGTCACTTAACCACTGTGCCACATTCTGAGCCTTTTCTTATATTTTAGAGACAGGGTCTTGCTGAGTGGCTTAGCGCCTCACTGAGTTGCTGAGGCTGGCTTTGAACTCACAATCCTCCTGCTTCAGCCTCCAGAGCTGCTGGGATTACAGGCACCCACCACTGTGACAGGCCATGTTAGTTCCGCGCTCTGAGCACAGACTCCCACCTGAATGCTTATTCCATGCAGGGGCTGATCTGAGGCTACCTGCCATTCATTCAGTCTTAGGTGAAATTGGCAGTTGTGGGGTCAGGACAGTCTGCCAGGCCATTAGGATGCCTTGTAACCACAATGGCTATTTGGTTCTCAGTCCCCTGGGTTCCGGGGTATCTGGCATTCTGTACCCCATGAGTCATCAGCAATACCAATCAACAGAGAAGCATAAGACCTTGGCCGACAATCTGCAGTGGATCAATTTCCACACAGCAGGCCATTCAGAGCTGTAATGCGCAGAAACCTTGCACAGTCAAGGGTCAGCCCTTCGAGTCTGGTTTGTTTGCACTCTGCATATTAACTTGAAGGAACATTAGGCACAATACCAAAATCTTATATGCATCTGTCTCTTGGCCACCCTGCATTTGTCCTTTGTGGGGTGATATTCCAAAAATACTCCTGCTAGGGTTGGGGCTGTGGCTCAGTGGTAGAGCACTTGCCTTGCATGTGTGAGGCCCTGGGTTCAATCCTCAGCACCACATAAAAATAAATAAAATAAAGGTATTGTGTCCATCTACAACTAAAAAAAAAATCCTGGCTAAAATGCCAAATGATAATATGCATATTATTGGAGATTATTTATCATTGCAAATGATTGAAAACCACCTCTAAATATCCAACAATGGGAAGTGATTTAAAGTGACAAATCCACATTACCAACTATATGATCATAGATAAGAATGAATAAAATCATTCTCATATTGATATAAAGTAAGATTATGTGGTTCCAGGTTATATTTCATATTTTAAGTAAAAAGAAGAAGAAAAAAGGCTGTGCAGAGTGGTGCCTGCCTGTCGTTCCAGCAGCTTGGGAGGCTGAGCAGGAGGACTGCAAGTTCAAGGCCAGTCTCAAAACTTAGTAAGTCCAGAAGCAACTTAGCAAGACCCTATCTAAACATTAAAAAAAAAAAAAAAAAAAAAAGACTGGTGGAGTGGGGTGGGGGTGGGGACATAGCCCAGCGGTTAAGCATCTCTGGGCTCAATTTCTAGTTCAAAAAAAGGGGCAGAGAACAGTATTGTAAATCAGGAACTGGGTGGAGCAGAAGCATAGAGACTTTCTCTAAATATTGCCTTATTCTACACATTTTAGTTGGGAACCATGTGAAGTTCCATTGTTAATAATAAAGCCATACCTAAAATAGAGAAACCGAAATGACAGAGGGTGTATCTAGGTGAACCACTGGGAATAGAAAGTATGAATGGCCTACAACTTTAGCATATAATTTCTATTGTACAAAAAGAGAGAAAACATAAATAGTGGCTTTATTGCTTGAAGTAATATTAGACATTTTTAAACTAATATTTTATGCACAATGTAGGATCAAACAAAGGCACTGTTAATATTAAGGAAGTAACATTTTTAGTGCAAGGAGAAAAACGATTCAAAGGTTAAAAATGAAAAGAGCTGAAAAAAACTCAGATTCAGAATTCCAGCATGAATAAAAACACAGAGGGGCAGAGAGGGAAATTCCAGAAGTGCACCTGGGTTATCCTGCTGTGCCAGATGGCAGGGAAGTCACCCCAGGCTGCCGGGAGGCGGCCCAAGCCCAGCTGGGAGGGTGTTCTGACCGCTCAGGCTCCAGTGAATCCCTGCAATTGATGGAAACGCACCCGAAGAGATAGACAGCCCCAGGGGGAAGAGCAAGCACGCAAAGGTCACTCTGGAGCAGGAATGAAGCCTTTATTTTGCCTTTCCAATAGAAAGTGGGATAGCCCTGATCAGTGACAGCCCCACAGGGGGCTCAGTCCCCGGTACAGCGGAGGGGAGAGGGGAGTATCAAGTGGGATCAGGTCCGCCCTCTCCCAGAAATCCTGCAGAAGTCGCAGAGCAACCCCCGCGGCACCTGCGTTGAAAGGAGCAGCCTCGGCAGTTGTCTGTCGTGCGCCGCGAAGGACGCAGGATTTCAGGCGGATCGCCGCGCGTCCCGAGGTCTACCCTGCACCGACGCCAGGGGGCGATCTCACGAGCGCGGCTGTCGGGTGACCAGGTGACCCGTCACTGCGGCCGGTCAGTGCCCCTAACAAAGGGAGGAGACCTGGAGATGACGAGGTGAAGGGATCTGGACACTTGGGCGAGAACTCCTGGAGAACGCCTTGGAGAGTGTTTGCACTTGCTGGAAGAAATCTCACGCTGAAAGATATTTTTGGTGAAAACCGTTGACATTTGGATTCTGATCCTGCATTAGAAGCGTTATAAGTTATTTTTCTTTTTTCAGGCACGATATTGACATTGTGAAGACTTCGATTTCTAGAGATGCGTTATTTTGGGTATGTAGAAAATTCTGCGTTGTAGGGTTTATTTCCACATTTTGTATTTGTACTGTATTTTTGTATTTTTAGAAAATTTCAAAAACTGAAAAAGGTCAGAATAGAAACTACAAAATACAGACATCAAATATACGTCCAAGTGTATAATGTCTACATACAGAGTTGGATGATATCAAGAATTGGTATGTATTAAATATATCATTTTTAACATTCAGTTTATAAGATGTCTATATAAAACTTGGGGCTGGGGATGTGGCTCAAGCCGGAGCGCGCTCGCCTGGCATGCCTGCGGCCCGGGTTCGATCCTCAGCACCACATACAAACAAAGATGTTGTGTCTGCTGATTACTAAAAAGTAAATATTAAAATTCTCTAAAAAAAATAAATAAAACTTGTTTGGATGTAAATTGGTACAATCACTTTATGATTCTTTTTCTTTTTGTTTGGTGTTGGAAGGGAACCCAGGGTCTGGCACCTGCTAGGCAAGTGCTCTAATACCAGGCTACACCCCCAGGACAAGTTTTCTCATGTATGGAAAATGTGAATGTCCTCAGACCTACCTACTACCCAGCAATTGTACTGTGAGGTCTGTATGGTGGAACTGCCCTTCAAAAATACAGCTAGCATAGGGACCCTCTGGGATGTCCTCACACACAGAGTGTGATCTAGTTCTGGGAGGGGCCCCTCAGCTGAAACTTTGGACAAGTTCTGGGCTGATGCCCACTTTGCTGAACTGCAGGACGACGTCCTGATGCAATGCACAAAAAGCGAGTGTGTGGTTTCCACAGAACTTATTTAATCAGACTTTCATGGGGCTCTAGAAACCTGCATTTCTTAAACGCACCTCTGATTAAAAGTGTGCTTTGGAGAGGCAATGTTAACCTTCACTTTGTGTCAGATTACATAATATAATAAAATAGAGGTCACAATTAAACAAAAGATTTTTTTTTATACAAACTATTAACCGATGCTTAAGTACAATCTGGTTTGGAAAAAATGAAATAAAATGAAATCATATTGTTACTGAAAGCTTGGTCCTTCCCATGGTGCCAATTCAATAACGAGGACGCGGTTTTGAGAAAAAGGAAAAAGGTTTATTGCTTTGCTAGCAAAGGAGAAACACAGGGGACCCTTGTCCCGGAGGCTGTGATTCTGCTCATCTGGGGTTTTTAAAAAGGTGATTCAAAGGCTACATCCCAGGTGTTCTCTGCTGGGGTGTGATTTACTTATTAATTTGGGAGACAGTCATTTCTGAGATCTTCTAGTACCGTCCTCACAGTCTGGGTTACTTCTTTCCTGGGGTGAGTGTGAAAGGCGAGTGACTCACCCAAGACAGAGATTCAACCAAGAGATTTTATTGGGGGGCTGCCTGAAGGAGAGGTAGAGAGTAGAGAGAAGAGGAGGAGGGCAGAGAGAGAGAGAAAGGGTAGAGAGAGGAGAGAAAGAAGAGGAAGAGGGCAGAGTGCAGAGAGAAGGGGGAAGAGTGTGCTTACACGCTTTGGCTTAAGAAGGGTTGCGCTTTGGCTTAAGAAGGGTTGCGTGGGGACATGGCGGTTGCTGACTGTCAGGGTGACTCAGGAACAGCCAGCGGACACTGTATCCTGCAGGGATTGGTCGAGGAAACTTGAATTTGGAAACTTTTGAATTTGGCGCTCTTGGTTTGGCGCTCTTTGGAGAGGAGGGGGAGGGGTAAGGGATTCCACGATGGTCTCAAGAAGGGGGAGTCCCCCACACACCCAACAGGTGTGTGCTCAGGGACAGACAACTCTGCCTAGGATGGGGAGAAAAGGTGACCCTGTTTCCCATGAGATTAGAGCGAGTGGGGAGAGAAGAAGAGAAAGAGATATGTTCATTTTAAAAATCAGTTGCAGTGGCAGAGCAGCAAGGATATTCCAAAGTAGGAATTTCAAAGGGTCTGCAGTCCAGTAGAAGGTAAATCAGCAGGCAATCACTAACTACAGATGGTAAATTATTTCCCCCCCATTTTGTGACAGTTTTGGTATTTTTCAGCTTTTTTTTTTTTAAAAAAGTTATAATTATCTGACTTTTTTCCTCAATCTAAATAGTCACTTTCACCAGGTTTGGAGGCACACACCTGTCATCCCAGCAACTCAGGTGGCTGAGGCAAGAGGATCTCAAGCTCAAGGCCAGCCTCAACAATTTAGGTGAGGCCTTGTCTCAAAAAATAAAAAAAATGGGCTGGGGGATGTAACTCATGGTAAAGCACCCCTGGATCTAAGCCCCAGTTTTTATTATTCTATATTTTAAAATTTTGCTGGGTGTGGTGATGTGACCGCTGTTTACCCAGTGACAAGTCTGAATGCTGAAGTGTAACACCAGAGAAGCACATGGAGGCCAGTGGAGAGTGGAATGTGGAGGCTTTATTAAAGACTTCCTCCCAGAGGAAGAAGGGGACCTGAAAGGCGGAATCCGTGGAAGGGGCAGGTCTTCCCTTTTTTTTATAGCTAAGGTCTTCTTTTGGTTTCCCACATTCCTGTCCTTTGTTTCCTTCTATCCTGCAGTGATAGAAAGCAGGTGGGAAGGCCAGAAGGTGGGAGATAGGTGGGCTGGAGGAGTAACCTGGGCAGGAGGGGCCTGGGGTGGTCTGATCAGCACCTCCCAGTTTGCTGGGAGCTGCTTCATTAACAGTTCTTAGGATGGGTTCCGGCCCTTGAGGACATTCACATTTCAGTTTCCCCAGGTGTCGTTGTGGTTTCCTGGACTCCATTCTCTGTATGGTCTCCATTTTCTTTATCCTACTGGGTATTAGGCCCGATTTACCTAACTACACTAACTACCATCTTTAAATCTGGCTTCAGTGTGCATGGCTGTAATCCCAGCGGCTCAGGAGGTTGAGAGTTCAATCCATGGTACAAAACAAAACAAAACCCAAGTTCAAAAACCACTTATATTTTAAGATTTTAAAATCAAAAGCCATTGTTAGATTTTGCAAATGGCAAAATTTACAAAAAAAAAATAAATAAAAAGCTGACTGGATAAGTTTTTCTCTGCATCAACAGTTTGGACGAGATGAAGGCTGTCCTAACACCAGACCTCTTTTGCATCCTGTGAACAAGCCCCATTTAATTACGATGCATTATGCATTTGATAGGTTGTCAAATTCTACCTAGTACTATGGTTCCTTAGCTTCCGTACTTCCAAGCGGGCTTGCCCTGTGGTGTTATTTGTAGTCTGTGTCATGCTGGAGTTGATGGAACACTCAGTTCTATTCCTTTTGTTTTAGATGGTGCTGGGGGTGGAACCTAGGTCCTTGCACCTGCCAGATCAGTGCTCTGAGCCACACCCCCAGGCAATTATAATGTGGCTTCCCTCCTGCAGTCTCCTTCCCCTCAGGCTGTGGCATGTGATTAGTAGAAATTAGACTATTTCACCTTTAAATAAAGAGATAAATAAGGTATGTGCTGGTGCTTTTCTTGCTTGGGGAGTTCTTTAATAATTTATTTATTTTTGGTACTGTAAAAGGGGTCCGGCGGAGCGTCGGAGAAAGAGACCACACAATTGCTCCATGCAATTGTCAAAAGGGGATATTTATTGGGGATCCATTCCAGCGCGCTGGGGCTCCGTGCTCACTCAAGAAGGGAGAGCAGCCCAGAGCAGAGGTCAAGCAGAGCTTAAGTACACTTTCTGGAGAGGGCGGTGGGCTTTGCATACATCAGAACAAATCATCATGAGGCGCGGGAAAATTGAACAACAACCCTGAGACGTGATTAGCACATTCATTGGCGGGAACAGTCTGGGCAGGGGTGATTGGTCATTTCCAAGCGGGGTACACATTTAAACTGATTGGTTTTGGAGCCTAGATGCTTACGTGCCAAGCTACCTAGAGCCCTTAGCTATTAAACAACCAGGGAATCAATGGAGATATTTACTGGGCAGTTCCAGCATTGTCCTAACAGCTACAGAGATTACAGGTTCCGGGGGTAGCAGAAGAATTTTAACAATACCTAGTCTTTACTTTTTAGCCCAGGCCTTGCCATTTAGAAGCTTTACAATGCCCAATCTTTTACACTTTAACTCAAGCTTTTGCAGCTTAGAATCAGCTTAGAAATTTTACCTTTACAGTACCAGGAATTGAATCCAGGGTAGCTTAACCACGGAGCCACACCCCAGCCCTTTTTTATTAATATTTTTTAAAAATTTGAGACAGGGTCTCCCTAAGTTACTTAGGGCCTCCTAAATTGCTGAGGCTTTGAACTTGAGATCCTCCTGCCTCAGCCTCCTGAGCCGCTTGGGACTACTGTATACGTCACTGTGCCCACTCATAATTTTACTTTAAAAAAGAGTTTTAAAGCCATTAGAATGTACATAAAAAATTATATCCATCACAGCATCCAAACGGCACTTTCTGGGAGATGATTAAATATTTTAAGCTATGTCCACAGGATAGGGTGTGTTTGGGGGGCCAACAAAGCGGAAGCAGTGGGGTGGCTGACCATTTTTTAAGTAGTTAATATGGGGGAAATAACACCCATGATTCAATGGGAAGTCATAATAGCAAGCGGCAAAGTGTCTAATGACCTCTTTTAAATGAAATAGAGGGAAATAGGAGCCTTGGGGACACATGCAAGAATTTCCAAAAATACCTACCTCCGGGTGGTCAGGGTTCCCGAGTGGAGTGAAGCAGGGTAAAGTGAAAGCCGCAATGGAGGTCCAGCTGAGATTGGTCCAGTTGTTTCAAAGTTTGAACAAATTGGTCTGTTACATATTCAAACAAATGAAATACCCCATGAGATGCTGTTTACAGTTAAATGAATCTTACGCTCAGTGAGTTTAACTTTTTATGTCATATTTTCCAGGTAAAATAGGATAAACTAACTGGTTCAGTAAAACGACAGTGAGGATAGTGGCCGCTCAGCCACAGCTGGAGGGTAACCTGTGGACACTTTCCTGAGCCCCCCACCAAGGCCTGTTTCAAGTGTGAAAGACCTTGGGGCTCCCCTGGGAGAACATCCCCAACTCCTTGGTCCCAGAGTGGGGGAGGGAAGGAGGGAGGGGGTGGACCCAGAGGGAAGTTACTAGGAGGAGGATGAAAGTGAACCCAGATGGTAGCCGGATGCCTGTTTCAATGACCATTTTACATAGACTTTCTCCATGCTCTGCCCAGAGCCCTGTATCGGCTCCTCACCAAAGTGGTATCAGGCCTCCTCCTGTGTGGCGGGAGTTCTGTCTCTTCTCCCTTAAATAAATCTGTTTACTCTTCCCTTCTGTGATTTCTGTGGATTTTATTCTTCTGTAAGGGTCCAGCGAAGCGTCGGAGGAAGAGACCACACAAGAGACTGGCTTCATGCAATAAGCAGGAGGGAGTTTACTGAACCAGCATGTTGGGGCTCAAGGCTCACTCAGGAAGATAGAGCAGCCCAGAGCAGAGGTCAAGCAGAGCTCAAGTACACTTTTTGGGGAGGGCGGGAGGGAGGGGGCTTTGCATACATCAGAACAAATCATCCTGAGGCATGGGAAAATTGAACAACAACTCTGAGACATAATTAGCACATTCATTGGCGGGAACAGGTCGGACGGGGGTGATTGGTCACTCCTAAGCGGGTACAATTTAAACTGATTGGTTCGGGCCCTGTGACAAACTGCACAGGGCCCTGGGCTAAATGGCCAGCAGGGTGTTGTCTTAACTATCTCAGGAATTTCAGGTTCTGGGTGTAGCAGAGGAACTTAACAATACCTAGTCTTTTACATTTTAATTCAGGCTTTGCAGCTTAGAAACTTTACCCTTTCACTTCAAAATTTGTGAGACAAGAACCCAGAGGAAATTAGCAAAGCAGGGAATCTAGTCTCACCTCAAAACTTTTGTTTCCATACCAATTCTTTCTATTCTAGAGTTTTGACAGCTTTTATTGAAAAGGAAAGCAAGGAACCAGGAGATGGGTGAGCGTGGAATGAAAGACGGAGACCAGGCAGAGCTACACAGGAGAGTTCATTTGTCAGAGATGACATATAAAGACCGTCTAACACCGGGGCTAACTGAAGTCTCCCTTGTTGCTCTCCGCTCAGAGACGGTGGTGCTCGCTCGCTCTCTTTCCCTGTGTGCTCCACCGAAGCCTCGCTTTGCTTTTACTTCACCTTCACCTATAATAAAGTCCTCTTGCCTGGCTTTTGTGTCTGACTTTAAATTTTCTTTATTGGAACATAAGAACTGAGGTTTGGAGTTTTAGCTCCCTGCTTTCCTGTGACTTATGCATCAAAAAACTCAAAACTTTAGATAGGGTTCCAAGATCTCCTTGTACTCACTACCCCGGAGGCCACGTAAACTTTTTTTTTCACCAAACAGAAAAGTGATGATTATGTAATTATAAAGCTATTAAGTGCTTGGGCAAACCAGAGGTTACATGCTTCGTGCTCTGGTGTGAAAATCTGCCCATCCACCACTGAGCCACATCCCCAAGCCCTTTTTAGTTTTTATTTTGAGACAGGCTCTCCCTAAGTTGCTAAGGCTTTTCATGAACTTGCCACATCTTCCCTCAGCCTCCCCAGTGGCTGGGATGCAGTGTGCGCCACCTCTGTGCTGTGACAGTGCTGGCGCCCCCTGGGAAAGTGGGGTAGCACTAAGGGCCTCCTTCAAAGCTCAGTGCTTGGGATCAAGTCAGAAAGATTTCAGAGACATCACTCAGAGCAACAGGCATGAGTTTATCGGGGATAGGAAACGGGAAAGGGGGACATGCTCAAGGGAGAGAGTGGGTCCTCTCAGAGAGGAGAGAGAGGACACGCCTCTTCTGCCCTCCAGTTTTATTGGGGGGGGGGCCCAGGGAATATTCCAGATAGTCCCCCCAGGTCCACTTCTTGACTTTTGACTGACAGCAGAGGACATCAGACTTTTAAGTCCCCATTGCCATGACAACTCGAGGTCGCTTTGGCCCATACTGCACCTTTTATGGCTAGGGGGAATTATGCTTATCTCCTTGAGTTCCCCTGGTCTGTGGTAGGGTTTATAAAAGCCCCCACCTTCAGAATAACTTGTGCTCTTATCTTCATTTGGGCCTGCATGTCTCCTGCAGGTAGTTTGCTGAGGAATGTTAACATCCTGTCAACTTAAGCCAGGCAGAGCTGCAGGGAAATTGCTTTTCAAAAGAGAAAGCAGGTAGGGCTCAGCACAGTGGGCCGTTTACAGATTTATTCCCTTAACATCACACTCCCTCCACTAAGTCTATCAGCCCCCTATCAGCACCACATTGATCTTGACCTTGAAGTTTCCAAGGTCAGGACCCACCTCGGCTGTGAGCCTGTCTAAGAGAGGAACCTATCTACACATACTTTCCCCGCTCCTCCACTAACTCCAGGTTCCCCTTCACAATTAACCAGTAGAATGGGGGCTCCCCGCCCCTCCCAGGATCCCAGGTGCATTAGCTTGGGACAAGAGGAAAATCAATCAATCGTCGTTCTGGGTCAGCTCAGGTGAGTGCGTGGAGGTGGGGGCTGGCTTTCACCTGGTTTTCTTGGAGGAAAGCAGGAAACACATGCGTCTGGCCAATGAAATAAATACAGCCACTTTTGCCCTGAGTTTCCCGTGAACTGGACCTCACCTGAGTCTGTTAAACACAAAACCGCCACGTGTCACAGTCATGGATTTGATCCTGACAACTCCGCTTAGAACTTGTCCTTTGTATTAACTTCCTTTACTGAGCTCTCAGTTCACACGAAGGAAGCATCCAGCGCTCAGCGGACCCAGCTCAAACCCCCTAAGCCCCTTCTCTAGAGGGAAACCCGGTGGGTACCTCAAGGAGAGGCTGTACCCAGGTAATTTTTCCGTTCACCCCAATCGCAGCGGGCTCCAACACTTTTATGGAAGCAGTAACACAATCCCTGCCAGATCTCCCCTGGCACCCAGCACCTGAGAGCTGGGAGGATGGGGGACCCTCTCAGATGCAGGAGTGTTCTGCATCTGCATGAAGACCAAGCTCATGCTGCGGGGTGGAAAGCGTGCCCCTTCTCCGCAGTCTCCACCCAAACTTCTGATTTCACTGTTCCACCTTCTCTCCCCTGGTCTGTGTCCCAGGAGGGGGAGCTGCAGGGTCCGCATTGCCGGGATCTCCTTGCCCTCTGCAGGCTCCACACAGAGGCAGTATTTCAGTTTAACACCCCAACCTCCACGCCACTCAGGATGCGGGGAGACAGCCAGCAGCCCTGACCACTGAGGCCAGAAGCCTCCCCGGCCTCATCAGCAACAGCCGGGGAAGGACTTCTTTTCTGTTCTGCATCCTGATTCCAGAGACCTTTGGACAAACCGATTCACACTGTTTCAATGCAGGCAAGTAGAAAAGTCTAGTTCTGCAGGTCCATAGTCAGACGACTAGCTTTGCTGGCCAGTGGGTGGAGGGAGTTGGATGTGGCCTCGGGGTTACTTGGAGCTGAAAGGGTTTGGAAATCAACAGGTGCAGGAAGAGTCCCCACCCTCCTCTCCTCTATCTGAAAGCAGGGCATTGGTTTTCTTTGTTTTTTGTTTTTATAATTTTTTTCCCCCTTTGGAACTGAGGATGGAACTCAGGGGCACTCAACCACGGAGCCCCATCCCCAGCCCTATTTTGTATTTTATTAAGAGACAGGGTCTCACTGAGTTGCTTAGCGCCTCCTGTTGCTGAGGTTGGCTTTGAACCTTCCATCCTCCTGTTTCAGCCTCCCAAGCTGCTGGGATTACTGACATGTGCCACTGTGCCCAGCGCATTGGTCTCCACGTAACAGGTATCTTTCCCCCTCTCTGGACCGGAGAGAATAATGTCTCATCATCAAAGACAGGGAGTCAACACCAGGAGGTGTTTGCACAAGCGAATCTTACTGAGATATCTTCATCTTCCATTAACACCCCCCTTATATTTCCTAGTCATTTCCCCACAATTCATCATTCTTCTGCTTAAAGAGAAAATCTTCTTTCCTTTGTTTAAAGAGCATACAAACACCCAAGTCTAATTGCTTATTTGAGTTTTCCTTCCTTTCTGGGTACGCACACACACATCAATATTGTTTGCCTTTTCTCCTGTTAATGGATCCTTGTTGGTTTTATTCGCAGACCCCCAGGCATCGCAAGTAAGAGTGTAGAGAAAGAGGTTTTTACCCCCAACATGGGAAATGGTGCCAGAAGTCACAAACGCTACCAATTGTAATTGTAATTCTGTTTGGTAATCACTGAGTTCGGGTTTTCTTTAAAAAATGGAACATGATCTTGTGTGGCCAGGTGGTCCTATTTCTTTATTTGAACGTGATCCACTGTGCTGCGGGGAGGTGGGGGGAGACAACCCTGCAAAACAAGAGAGGGTTCCATGGGGATGGCTCGCACTTTCTCCTTCGTCCTGACGTTCAAAAGGTCTTGCTCTTTTCATGTTGGTATTAATGGATCTTGCTTTCTACACAGAATCGAGGGTTTTAATAATGATACAAAACAACAACAACAACACACACACACACACACACACACAAAACCTAACAAACCACCATAAACTTAGTGACTTGAAATGACACAAATCTATCTTGTGCCTCTGGAGATGGGAGGTCTGACAGGGGTCTCTTCTGGCTGGTTCCTTCTGAAGTCTCCAGGAGAGGATTGTTTTTTTTTTTTTTTTTTTTTTCTTTTTCCGACCATGGCTCCAGCCTCTGCCTCTTCTCCTCTGACTCCAAGCCCTCTGCTCCCTCTTCTGCTTATGAAGCCCCTTGTGATTCCACTGGGCCCATCTGGGTGCTTCAGGCCAGTCTTTCCCACTCAAGATCCCTAGCCTGGCGATGCCAGTCCCTTTGCCATGCACGCTAACACAGGCACCGATTTGGGGAATTAGGACACGGACATTTTTAGGTTTGTTATTCTGCCTGTAACAAGATAGTGGCCTTCAAGGACATTTATATTAAGTAATTTTATTTAATTTTTTTCCCCTTGGGGATTGAATTCGGGACTTCACCCAAGCGTGGGCTCCACCACTGAGTTACTTCCCCAACCAACCCCTGATTAGAGGTTGAAAAATCTAAGAGGAAGACACCAGCCAGGGACTCCCTTGGGAGAAGGGATGAGCTTCTCACTTGGAAAGCAAGGGCAGACTTCTCTTGGTGGGTGGGTCTGGTGGGGCGGAGTTCTGGATGGAGGGGGAAGTTTGGATCTTTGAAATGCAGAAAGCCCTGAGCTGACTTGACCTGGGGAAGGACAGAGGGTCCCAGAACAGAAAGGGGCAGCTGCAGGGCCAAAAGGCAGATCTGTGAGTGCATTTGGGCACCTCAAGGGGTTGTTCGTTTGCATATTAATGGCCAGAAAAATCATGGAAATGGCTCTTTTATTATTCCCCTCCCCTCCCCTCCTTTTCTCCCTCATTCCCTTTCTCTTTCTTTCTTCTTTCACTGGGCGGGAGTGTTCTACTTGAATTGTGTCTCCAGCCCTTTTTATTTTGTGTTTTGAGACAGACAAGTTGCTGAGGCTGGCCTGGAACTTGGAATCCTCCTGCCTCAGCCTCCTGAGTAGCTGAGATCAGAGAGGTAGGCCGCCAGGCTCAGCTATTATCCTCTATTCCTTTGTCCTCTCTCTGCCCTAAAGAAGCTCTAGAAATTATTTATGTCCTAGATCAGGCAGTTCATGTGCTTACCAATTGTTCATGAGTTGAAAGTTTTCTTTCCAATTTCGTCCTCAAACATGATTTTAAAATTTAAAACATTTTAACCGACATAATATTCGTGCTTATTTATGATACAGGGTATTATAATTTAATACATGTATACAGTGGGTAATGATTAAATCAGGATAATTAATCCAGTAGAATGGCTGTGTGGGGAATTCTTCTAACTCTTCTACTCTGGTTATTTAAAATGTACAATTATTTTTGTTGTAGATGGTATTCAGTTTGATGTGCTATAGGACACTAGAACTTCTTTACCTCCCTCCTCCAAAACAAGGTTTTCGAAAGCTAACATCTCAAGAAACACCATTATTTTGTAGAATTTAGAAAGTCTCAGTGGCAGGGGAGATACTTAGGAGAAACTGTTGACTTTGCATTTATTTCATCTAGATGGGTGCTGACCAATAGAGCAGCCACGGGGCCCATGTGGCTATTTAAGCTAATTAAAGTAAAATGAAACGCATTTAAACAAAATTAAATTCAAATGCCTCAGTGGTTCCAGACGAGACAC